GTTTATCTTAAGCTTGGGGCCCGTCAATTGGCCGCCTAGATCGTGTGATTTAACGCCGTTGGACTATTTCTTGTGGGGCCATGTTAAGGCTAATGTCTACAGGGATAAACCAGCAACGATTGACGCACTGGAAGCCAATATTGAAGCATTTATTCGTGAGATAGCGGCCGATATGTTGGAGAGAAATTGGACCTTGCGCATGGGCCATCTAAAGCGGAGCCGCGGCCAACATTTGCATGAAATAATCTTTAAACATTAAATTATATCGACCGTTCTATCGACTAAAATAAAAATTTAATCGTTTTTTCAAATTTTTTGTGTTTTTTTTTAAAATCAAATCCTATACCTCTTAAAAAATCACCTGTTCTTATCACTATACTATAAACAAAACGTGCGCTGTAGGCGTCAGTCGGTACTGGAATAACGGCGAACAGTGGGAGGAAGCTTGTTACTGCGCACCATATGACCAAATCTTGGTAGGTGCCGCGCGTCACTCTTTTTCGCTTTTAAATTGAACGAAATTCCAAATCCGCCTCTGCGGTGGCCCTATAACAGTTTCGTTAACGGTAGTATCGCCTGAATGCCCTCTCTAAAGCTCACCGTCAAACTTATGAAACTTTCAACTCATGCGCTTGTTTGTTATTGCTGCGGCTGGTGGAGTGGCTCTCGGAGTTGCCGTGCCGCAGATATACTTTATTCCAGGCTCTCTCTGGCCAATAATGCGTTCAGCGCGGCAGAATGCATTGCGAGCAAATTAAAAATTTTATTTGCCGCTTTTTCCAATTACTGCGACTCGGCTGTCGAACAAAGACTACTCACCGGCTCAGGTAATTAACGAAGAAAGTTTGAAAGCTTTCATTGGAGGTCTTTCTAGCTACCTCAGGTTTTCCAAACGAAATTTAGCATTTCAGTATCTGCTGGTCTGCAAACTGCGTGCAAAACTCACAGACTTTTAAGCCAAGTGGCGGTTTTAATGTGTATTTGAAACGTGTAACGCCCTTCTGGGGCCGTGCAAATGATTTCCGGAGTGTTCATGCAAAGCTATTATTACTCCAGAAAATTTTGCTCACAGACCTGTATGCATACTAAGTGACATATAAATCCGAACACCCAGCTTAAATGGTTTTATTTTAATAAAATTTTGTATAAGTACTTAATGAAGCATAATAAGTAAATGATAAAAATTTCAAAATGATTGCACTGCTTTAAAGCCCTTTGACCTTTAATAATGTATGGATGCACCCTGATATGCTACACATTCTCCAACGCGCCTAGGCATGCTTCTGATCAGGTGGTCAATGTCCTCCTGTGGTATCTCATTCCAGGCAACCACCAACTTCTCTCGAAGTGCTTCGAGAGTCTGAGGAGGACGTTGCAAATTGAGCAATCTCCTACCCATCATATCCCACACGTGCTCAATTGGGGATAAGTCGGGAGATCTTGGCGGCCATGCTAACAATGTGACATCATTATGTTGAAAGAAGTCTATTGTGACTCTTGCAACATGTGGTCGGGCATTATCTTGTTGGAAAGTTGGATCTGCCAGGGTGTCAAGATAGGGTAAAAGATGGGGTTCTAGCACTTCATGGATATAACGCTGCGCGTTCATGTTACCTCTGATGAAGATTAAAGGTGACCTGGAACCATAAGCTATAGCACCATAAACCATAACTCCAACAGTGTGATGAACATGTCTTTCAACAAAAATTGTGGATTCCTCCTTTCACCACGTCGCCTTCTAACCCTGGCACGACCATCGTGTATGCCTAAACAAAATCGGGACTCGTCACTAAAGACAATAAATACTGTTCCATTCCTGATCCCAGAGTGACCGTTGTCTGCACCACTCAAGGCGATTACGTCGGTGTTCTCGAGTTAAAGGGAGGACCCAGTGTGGCCGGTATGAAAACAAGCCAAAACATCTCATTCGTCGGTAAACACTTCGCATGCCAATAGGTCTTCCGTGTTCTGCAAACCATTCATTTGCAATGGACCTGGTAGTGGAGAAACGGCCCCTTAAGGCCAATAATCTTAGGCGGCGATCTTCACGGTCTGTTGTTCTACGGCGGCGTCCAGTGCCCCATGCTCTTTGCGTACGGCCTTCTCGAAGCCATGCCTGACAACACCTAACCACAGTGTCTACACTTCTTTGCACTCTAACTGCAATTGCTCGAAAAGAAAGTCCAGCTTCCCGAAGTCCCACTATACGGCCCCTATCAAACTCACTAAGTTGACGAAATCGTACAGCAGTATAAAAACCGGAATGTCCAACTGATAAGGCTGAAAATTTGTTCACTTGTTATTTACAGTAAGATAAATACATTCACCAACTTTTATTAAAATAAAACCATTTAAACTGGGTGTTCGGATTTATATGTCACTTAGTATATTTTGGACGTTTGGCATGGAATTATGGTGCATGTGCAACCACTGATTCAAACTAGTGCATCCACCAAAATTATCAGTCCATGAATACGAATGCAAGTACTGTGAATTAGTATTTTATGGCGGAGATATCGAAGCAACTAGTCTTGTGAGTTTATCAAAGTGAAAACCCGATTGTCAGACGCCACAATGAATCCTCCTCGAAATTCCGGAAAGCTGCCTGGATTTCAAATCAGGAATCGGTAGATTGCTGCGTTACTAAAAACCATATCTAAAAAAGCTATTTACAAAAAAGGGGTCAAAGAAAGTTGACTTTGTACTTGTCATGTAACGTTGTCATCAGTTTGTGAATAATTATGTTGGACACAAGTTGGTCCTTCTGAGCAAAAAGTCAGTTACGATTATAACAAGTATAACAAGTGGTTAAACTATTCTCTTCCTTCTACTGAGAGAAATACCTGCGGAGGTACATCCTCTATGCATATTGAGTGCGACCCACGAGACCTTCATGTATCGATAGGCGACTGTTGGAGGTATTTCTGAATTGTTCACGATTACAAAACGCTTCGTCTGTAGGCGTGGGAAGTAAACATTATGACCAAATGTATGCCTTTGCTTGAAAAATATGCCGCTTTCTACAGAGTGATTCATAACCACGTGGCAAGATAAATATGTATTTTACATAACATTCTCTCCGAAAAAAAAGCAGTTAGACCTGGAAGCTTGCTAGCGAACCTCTCGTCAAAACAAAGTTTACATCCTATCATTTGTCGACACCTAAGCGTCTCTCAAATTTTATACATTACCTTTTACAATGTACATTCTATATTTTAGGGATTTTGGATTTTGTTGGTGTGGCGGTAGAGTAACATTACTGAATCTTTGATTAATCCATAAAAGGGTTGTCCAATAGGGACGCAGGAAAGTAAACGTCAATTTGACATAGACGCCATCTTTGTTTTCTGTCACCGACATGTCATTTTGTTAGTTGAATGTTTACCATTGATCGCTATGGAGTCGTATTCGATTGAAGACCGCATTAAAGTTATTCAAGAGCACCACAAAAATGGTGCAAAAATAAAAAATACGTTTCGCGCGCATCGTGAACATTTCGGTCGCAACAACCGCCCAAACGAAACAACCATCGGTCGTCTGGTGCGTAAATCTGCCAGGCTCTGGCCGGCCAAGGAGCGTTCGCACACCGGAAAATATTGCTGTTGTGAAGGAGAGTGTGAGAGACGATCCGAAACAATCAACAACGCGTAGATCCCAAGAACTGGGCATTTCGAGAACCAGTTTGCTCCGCATTCTCTACAGGGATTTGAATGTACACGCCTACAAGATCCAATTGACGCAAGAGCTGCGTCGGGCCGACCATTTTTCGCGCCGAACGTTCTCAGATTGGCTCCTTGAACACCGCCAAATTGATGCCAATTTTTCATCAAAAGTCATGTTCAGCGCATTTCACTTTGAATGGGACGGTAAACAAGCAAAACTGCCGCATCTAGGTGAACGAAAATCCCCGTGAGTATCAAGAGCAGCCGATGCATCCTCAAAAAGTGGCTGTGTGGTGTGCACACCACCATTGTGGTCAAAAGGCATCATCGGACCTTACATTTTCGAAAATGCGGCCGGGGACGCCGTTACCGTCAATTCTGAGCGATATCACGTGATGATAGAGGACTATTTCTTGCTGCAACTTGAAGGAATGGATATGGACGATGTTTATTTCCACCAAGACGGTTCAACATGCCATACAACCAACGTCAATATCCATCGATTGCAGTCCTTCTTCGGTGATCGCGTGATTTCGCGCAGAGGAAATGTGCCATGTCCACCAAGATCGTGCGATTTGACTCCCTTGGACTTCTTTTTATGGGGATATTTGAAAAGCAAAGTCTACGTCAACAAACCAGCCACCCTCCAAGAACTTAAAAACAACATCATTGCCGAGATTAATGCCATAGAACCGACCATGTTGCAAAATGTCATTGAAAATTTCGACCATCGCGTGGACGTCTGTAAATCCAGTCGTGGTGAACATTTGTGCGATGTTATTTTTCATACATAAATGGTATAAATGAATCTTCAAAATAAAGTACCCAACTTGATTTGAATATCAATCTTTCTTGTTTTAATATGCGTTTACTTTCCTGCGTCGGTTTTGGACAACCCCATATATAGTTTATTTTGAATTGCAATTTTTGGGAGTCTCAAAAATGCAAAACTTCATAATTATAATTATTCCCCAAAAAATTTGCTATCGTAACATAAAGCTCATTAAAAAGGATAAGCCATAAACATAAAAATATGCACATACAAATATACAACGTTTTTTGGGAAAAGTTGCACTACACGTTTATACGCACACTGTATAAAGGATACCTAATATTAAAAAAAGTTTAAATGTCGATATACTGTAAAATACGAAACTCATTTTTACAAAAAGTTTGATACTGTATCTGCAAAAGTAACTGACTGAAAAGTTGTCAAAGTTGACTAATTTTTGGGACAAAACATCGCGCAGCTCCAAAAGTACATAGTATGCTACGAGGGATGTCCTTTAAGTTTTGCATGTGGAAATAAAACAACACGGTAGGTAGTTTTAAATGACCTTATTGTCTTTCGAAGTATTCTCCACGAAGATTAATACACATTTGCATGCGCTCGAACCAATTTTCGAAGCACTTATTCCATTCGTTTGCTGGCAGATCCAAAACGGAATTTTTGAATGCGTCAACTGCTTCTTCTGGTGACGTTTGACCAAGCAGTCTGTTTATTATTTTCGGGAAAGTAAAGAAATCGTTAGGACTTAGATCGGGACTATATGGAGGATGGTCCAATAATTCCACCTTTTCATCCGTTAAATACTGCCTTGTTCTTTGGGCAGTGTGCAAGCTTGCATTGTCTTGGTGTAGGATGATTCTTGTTTCGGGGTTGATTTTTCGAAGCTCGGTGATGACTTTTGGAAAACAAATGGTGGTAAACCAATCCGCAGTAACAGTTCTTTGCTCATTAAGAGGAATTGTCGCAATATGACCCGCTGTTGACACAAATGTCGCGACCACCTTTTTCGAAACACTTCAAGAACGCATGACATTTGTTGGCTTTTCTTACTCCCAATTCTTCAAGTAAAATTTTTTGAATTGAGGTCTTTGAGATCTTCATGGACGCCTCAATCTCTCGATATGCCACATGTCTATCTTCAATGATGAGTTTGCGAATAGCATCAACGTTTTCGGTACACCCACCCTGGGATGGTCGCTAAGACTCACCCATGCACGTTTGAGTTCTCCATACCAACGGGAAATTATCGACTGATGTATCGCTTCGTTGCCAAAAACAGACAGTAACTCAGCAAGGCATTCTTGTTGCGATATCTGTCTCTGAAAGTTGTAATAAATTATGGCGAGGAAAATGTTCTCGGTTGAGTTCCATTTTTCTAATGACTTGGTGACACTTAAAAATTCACTGTAGTGAGAACACTGCACGTATGGTTGTGAAACTTTGAATTTAAGTTTACTAAAGAGTGAGGTTAAGATTCAGTACTGACGTTCGATCCGCGCGGCCTACTATGTTTCTATATGCAAAACTTGTATGCTATGCTCTTCAATCGAAGCATTCATCAGGATATACTAAAATATACAGGACATTCCGTTTTAGAAGAATGTATGTTTGTGTTGTGACGCAGATATGAATCACCCTGTACGGAGCGGCAAGTTTTACAAGTCTATCGTTTTTGTAAATAACTTTTTTAGAGATTTTTAATGATACCGGGGCTGTAGATCGATCTTACACAAGAAACTCGAGCTGTGCGTAGTGTCTGTACCAAAATACTTATTTTTATTTCCTATGCCCCTGAGCGAGGAAGTCATAGTCATATCGGTACTGCTGATTTGGATGAACTTTTCACACAAGGTTACTAATACGTCAAGGACAAAAAAACGTTGCTTAGACGTTGTTTTTTGGCGTCTCAGGGACATGGAGGAGGATATATCTCAATTCTTTGTTTTTTTATAGATGTCTCCTTCTGCTATCTGGCCTCTGTGCCCACGGAACTGTGTATGGTATATCTGAAGTCACTTGAAATAGCATAAAAACCTTTGGTCGGCGCGTCCTTTGTAATTTCATGACGTATCATAGGCGTGCGGTGATTTATTTAGAACGATAATAATAATGTTTTCATATCACAATAAATGGATTTTACTATCTTCTTATTTTTTTGATTTGGGATATAAAATACTTATATTGGGAGTTTAATTTATGTTGACTGAAAATTAAGAAATGGAAAAATTACAGAATTCCAACGCAAATATTTACATAGCAGGTAGGTATATAAAAAGGTATATAAAGACTTACATTATAGGTATTTATATATCATCCTCGCCTTCGGAGCTGTCGCTAGAGTCATCTTGTAGTGGAATTACAACGGGATTTACAGGAGGCAAAACACAATATTCATTTTCTTTTTCAATAATATGCCTAGAACACTGCTTCCATAGGTCTGTGGCAGCAATATGAGATACTGAATCTCTTATTGTGGCCAATAGCGATTCACTTAATTGAGCGGTCTGATTATGTTTTCTTACTTTTTTTTTAAAGCAGCCCAGACCAACTCAATCGGGTTAAAAATGCAGTAATAGGGAGGTAGACGTAATACTTCATGGCCATTTTGCTGAAGCAGATTGTCAACAACATACTCTTTTTCAAATTTTTGTCTTTTAATAAGATCCAATAATATGGCTTTGGTTGATTTTTGTGGTATTTCCATTCCCTTATCCTTCATAAAATCAATAATGTCTTGTTTTTTTGTGCCTGTATTCGGAATTTTGCTTTTCTGTCGGGAATGGTATGGCGCATTGTCCATAATAATCACTGAATTTGGGGAAATGTTTGGTATTAACTGCTGCTCTATCCACACAAGTCGGAGGTCATGTCCACATGATTCTTTGATATTTTTGGCAGATAACAGCAAGGCATTAGGTATAAATCCATTTTCACTGCCAGCATGGAGAATAATGATTCGTTTTCCACGGTTGCATGGTGCATTTAAAATGCACTTGTTGCTGTCGTCAACCCAGCCGTACTGCACAACATCATGGGTATCATACCACGTTTCATCCAGGTAAATCAGATTTCTTTTCTGCTCTCTATAGATTTTAACTTTGTGCAAAAATTCTTGGCGCAATTCAACGATTCGAGACGACTTCATAATCACCATTCTTTTATCTAATTTTTTGTATTGAAAACCACACAGTTTTACAATACAGTGCAGTGAGTCTATGCATTTGTAGTTATAAAAATCTTCAGGATAATCTTTTAATTTATCTCGTATCATTTCCAACGTGGGCACCAAATTTTCTTTATAAAATCCGTATATTATACGACGAATATCTTCCTGAAAACCCACGTCTATTCTTTTTAATTTTTGCCCTATGCGCTTTCTGTGGAAGAAATGGTTGACTACATCTCCCCTTTTTATAACCCGATAAATGGTAGACCGACTGATTTTTGTCAGGATACAAATTCTGTTTAAAATTTGATTTTGCGAGGAATCTGGATTTTCGTTTTTCAGACAATCATACATATTTAGGATTACTCTTTGGGTCTGTTCCTCTAAATCTTTATGAAAGAATTCTGCCTGCACAGGTTCATCAACCATCTCCTCGTGGCTTGGAGCATTTTCCCAAGGTCTCCAAAGAGCCATATTTAGGACACACAAGAACAATCAACACAACAATTAAATCAACAAGTAAACTGAGTATTCAAAAGTCAAAAACACACAAACTAATAAAATCTATGAAAAAACACGGACAGACTAAAGAAAACACGTTTATTCACCGCTACACGGCACTGGCTAAACTGTTTCAATTTTCAGTAGCCACCTGCACTTGTTCGGAGCTCTGAAATACACGCTTTCTCATTGGCTATGTCCACGCATAGGCGTGCTTTACTCCACGTGGACCGGTGAAACTGCCTTTGATATATATTTTCTGCGAAATTTGGCGATTTTTGCAGCAACAGAGCGTGTTAAATATAGATGTATAAAACGCACCCGGTATTTCACAGTGTTTCAAGTGACTTCAGATAAAGTATACTTGATTGTTCTGACTCTACTGCGGCGGTGCTTCCGTGAGCGCTGCTGTGTCTGACGATATGGGAAAGGACAACGTTGCCAGATGGACGGCAATTACCGGTACGGTACGGAAACAATGTTTATGGATTAGCTGTATGGGCTTGTTTGACTGATTTGATCCGTTTAGTTTATCTATTGTACATGTTCGTAACCATCTTTTTCCTCTACTGCTGAATTTGTCCCTTATGATGGCGTGCAGGTTAAACCTACTTGTCTTTATTTCTTGAGACACTTGATTTTAATAACTGTTCACTGTATGGCTTACGCTACGCGAACTATGAACTTAATAGAAGCCTTGAATAATTTTGTTTCTACGCGATGGTAAGTTGTCAACGTAATTATGCATATCTCCATGCAGGCCAAACCATAACATGTAGAGCGGTGACTAGCTGGTGCGAATGCCGTTAACCCTCGTTCAGTGCGGCTAATAAACTAGGCACCGGCACCAGCAGTAGCAATAAAGCCTATTTGCATGCGAATGGAGGATTAAAACTGTTGCGACGCCACTCCGCCCAATGCCGACGCCTGCTCACGGCCAGCGTCGTTACTAACTCATGCTGCACACATCCAAGTAGAGGCACATGAGCGTCGAATATTAGTCTCTGACGTTCCACTTTCTTCGCGGATCAACCTTCATTTCCGATTGGCCGCCAAATTATATATCAACATATTTTCAAAAAAAGGCGTGAAGTGAAGAAAAGGGATGAGTCAAGCGTTTGAAGAGTAAGTTCACTTAGGTGCGATGAATCTTCGACCTCTGCATATCATACTATATAAAGCAAATTTATCAGTCATATCTGTTACCATGGCAGATGTAGGGAATATATACTAAGTGACATATAAAATGAAGCATAATAAGTAAATGATAAAAATTTCAGAATGATTGCACTGCTTTAAAGCCCTTTGACCTTTAATAATGTGTGGATGCACCCTGATGTGCTACGCATTCTCCAACGCGCCTAGACATGCTTCTGATCAGGTGGTCAATGTCCTCCTGTGGTATCTCCCAACTCCTCTCGAAGTGCTTCTAGTGTCTGACGAGGACGTTGCAAATTGAGCAATCTCCTACCCATCAAAACTCACACGTGCTCAATTGGGGATAAGTCGGGAGATCTTAGTGGCCATGGTAACAATGTGACATCATTATGTTGAAAGAAGTCTATTGTGACTCTTGCAACATGTGGTCGGGCATTATCTTGTTGGAAAGTTGGATCTGCCAGGGTGTCAAGATAGGGTAAAGGATGGGGTTCTAGAACTTCGTGGATATAACGCTGCGCGTTCGTGTTACCTCTGATGAAGATTAAAGGTGGCCTGGAACCATAAGCTATAGCACCCCAAACCATAACTCCAACAGTGTGATGAACATGTCTTTCAACAAAAAACTGTGGATTCCTCCTTTCACCACGTCGCCTTCTAACCCTGGCACGACCATCGTGCATGCCTAAACAAAATCGAGACTCGTCACTAAAGACAATACTGCTCCATACCTGATCATAGAGTGACCGTTGTCTGCACCACTCAAGGCGATTACGTCGGTGTTCTCGAGTTAAAGGGAGGAGCCAGTGTGGCCGATATGAAAACAAGCCAAAACTTCTCATTCGTCGGTAAACACTTCGCATGCCAATAAGTCTTCCGTGTTCTGCAAACCATTCATTTGCAATGGACCTGGTAGTGGAGAAACGGTCCCTTAAGGCCAATAATCTTAGGCGGCGATCTTCACGGTCTGTTGTTCTACGGCGGCGTCCAGGGTCCCTTGCTCTTTGCGTACGGCCTTCTCGAAGCCATGCCTGACAACACCTAACCACAGTGTCTACACTTCTTTGCACTCTAACTGCATTTGCCCGAAAAGAAAGTCCAGCTTCCCGAAATCCCACTATACGGCCCCTATCAAACTCACTAAGTTGACGAAATCGTACAGGTCTCCGTACTTTAGGCATCGTAACCGATCGTAAAGGATGTCAAGAACCAAAATCCGCCAACGTTGGTTCCTTACTGCGGCTGAAATATTCATTTTTAGAGCGTTAGTGAATTAAAAAAAAAAGCAGTATAAAAACCGGAATGTCCAACTGATACGGCTGAACATTTTTTCACTTGTTATTTACAGTTAGATAAATACATTCACCGACTTTTATTAAAATAAAAACATTTAAACTGGGTGTTCGGATTTATATGTCACTTAGTATAAGATAAAAGTATGAACTAAAGTTACGGAATTTTGTCGACAAACAATGCAATGTGAACATGTAAGCTTAGCTCCTTCTAATTTGATCGACTTCGTTGAACTCGGCTGCAAAAACTCCAAGCTCACTCCAGGGCTCCATTTTATAAATAGTATCATGTGAAATTACCTGTAACTTGTACTAATTTAAATCCCTCTTGTAAATAGATTTGCTACAAGTGATTCTAGTTTGGTAGCAAAGAATATGTCACATTTCTTGATACAAAAAAGGTTCAGATGTTATTAACAACACTTATGGACGATTGTTTGGAACTTTATTACATTTGGAATATTGTATCTAGTAAACCGACTTTAAGTTGCACGTGGCAACCATGTATTGTAAGAAGGTAAAATAGAAGTGTGGATAGTAGTTGCAGGTGTGTTAGTCTCCCAGTTTTTTCCTGATTTTATAAGTAAAAAGTAAAGTAAGTGGTGACTACAGCCCATGAAAGCATCAGGGACGCCATCCGGCACCAATTGCAGATCCGAGGTAAACCCTTTACAACAACGATATAAGATATTTAAAAAGTACTGATTTTTTGGTAGAATTGTTTGTAATATAGAATTCGAATTTAACGAATGGCACCACAGGGAATTAAGATTCCAGTCAATATGAACATCACCAAGTATTTTGTTGACAGCACTGCACTTTTTCACATTTTTTCAATTAAATGCAATAGATTCATTCCAAAATAATAATTTTACAAAATTCGTAACTTAAAGTATTCTATTTACAGGTCCGTCTTTACTTTTTTCAACTCTCATGTTTCAGAGTCCTTTCTTCCTACATTATTGGAACTTTCGACAAACTATGTTGTCATCCGCAGGAGCTAAATCACAAATATGAAAATTTAGAACAAATTTAAATTTCCAATTACTTACTCGTCGATGAGGTGGCTGCTAAATGGTGATTTAGAACGAAAACGTGGACGAGATAACTTGTTACGAGTATAAAAACAAAAGACAGGACACATTGGGTTTGTTAATTATAAAGTAAAATAGACGGAAGGTCGAAAATTATAAAATATATTTGCTAGTTGGACTGTGTGTAATCCATAGAGATGTTACCTCAAAGAGTTATAAGATACACGTCACTGCCTCCAAAGGTGTATGTAGAGTTACACACAGTCCACAGCACACACACAGAGACAGACAAATAGACCGACAGAGGCCGAGGGCGCTGAAGCCTAACGAGGTAATCATTCTCGTTAGCATTTCACGACCGGTCACTGAGGATGGTCAGTCGGAGGTTAGTTTAAGCGACTCAATTTGACAGCTCGTTACAATCGATGCGCGTTGCTGAATTGCATGCTTATTCACCCTTCGCTGGTGTCCAGTCAAGGGGACGGGCATAGTTCAGTGATAACGAAAATTACTGGAACTGTCCTATACTTACAGCAACCAGGGACGTAATTTATCTCTGACTGGAAGCATTTTTTGTCATAGAGATGCAAATCACCTACTTAGAAAGCGGTGCTAGAATTATTAATCAACCATATCACGTGATAAAACTAAAAGTAGCAAGTACACGCCAGTTGCTTCCAAATCCTGCGAAAGTGTTTTACGTACAGTATGCTTGAGTGAAGACTATTGGATAATTTGTGGGCACTCACCGGTTCAAATTCTTGTCCTGGTGAAGTTTCTATTTTTTCTTATTGCTCAGTGTTGACAAAAATACTAATTTTGCAACACTATTCAAAAGTTCGATTGGTCCATAGACCCTGAACAACGATCTGTACTTTGCTAGACCGCAGATTGTGAGATGCGACCATTTGGTCTTTTTTTATATTGAACTTGAGCCGCCACTTAAGGCTTTAATCTCAGGGGGTACCGTAGGGCTATAGAGAAAGAGAGAGAGAGAGAGAGAGACGTCACACGAACTTTAGCAAGGGAATACGTATTTTTTCTGGCCCGCCTTAGAGATCCTTCGGGTGGTACCTCCTCGTATGACAGTCCGAGATGGCCTACCATCTACGAAAAATCACCAAGAGAAAAATCCTATTTGTGAACTCAGATTCACTTGTAACTACAAGGTCCTTCGACAATGTTTGTTCAGTGACTGATTCTTAGATGAAAATAGCTGTGTGGTAGAATATACTGTGTGGTATTTTCTCGCATTAAATCATTAGCACAGATGGCATGCGACAGTGACTGATAATTGTCCTACCAATTACCATGGGCGCCCGCAGGAATTGCCTCCAGCAGAGCCAGTACAAGCGTACGAATGTGGTCCCGAAATTTAAAAAGCAAAAAACAGCTCACGCAGAAGGAATGTTCGGGTCTCCAAACCTTTCTAGATAGCGGAAGAAGCCAAATTATACCTGCGCGGCCAAATGTTAATGGTAGGGGATTT